TGTAGGGGGGGTGTATGGTGGATGTGTGTAGGGGGGGTGTATGGTGGATGTGTGTAGGGGGGGTGTATGGTGGGTGTGTGTAGGGGGGGGTGTATGGTGGATGTGTGTAGGGGGGTGTATGGTGGATGTGTGTAGGGGGGGGGTATGGTGGATGTGTGTAGGGGGGGGGGTATGGTGGATGTGTGTAGGGGGGGTGTATGGTGGATGTGTGTAGGGGGGGGTGTATTGTTGATGTGTGTAGGGGGGGTGTATGGTGGATGTGTGTAGGGGGGGGTGTATGGTGGATGTGTGTAGGGGGGGTGTATGGTGGATGTGTGTAGGGGGGGGTGTATTGTGGATGTGTGTAGGGGGGGGTGTATGGTGGATGTGTGTAGGGGGGGGTGTATGGTGGATGTGTGTAGGGGGGGTGTATGGTGGATGTGTGTAGGGGGGGGTGTATGGTGGATGTGTGTAGGGGGGGTGTATGGTGGATGTGTGTAGGGGGGTGTATGGTGGATGTGTGTAGGGGGGTGTATGGTGGATGTGGTAGGGGGGGGTGTATGGTGGATGTGTGTAGGGGGGTGTGTATGGTGGATGTGTGTAAGGGGGGGTGTATGGTGGATGTGTGTAGGGGGGTGTATGGTGGATGTGTGTAGGGGGGAGTGTATGGTGGATGTGTGTAGGGGGGGGGTGTATGGTGGATGTGTGTAGGGGGGAGTGTATGGTGGATGTGTGTAGGGGGGGTGTATGGTGGATGTGTGTGGGGGGGTGTATGGTGGATGTGTATAGGGGGGGTGTATGGTGGATGTGTGTAGGGGGGGGGTGTATGGTGGATTGTGTGGGGGGGGTGTTATGGTGGATGTGTGTAGGGGGGGTGTATGGTGGATGTGTGTAGGGGGGAGTGTATGGTGGATGTGTGTAGAGGGGGTGTATGGTGGATGTGTGTAGGGGGGGGTGTGGTGGATGTGTGTAGGGGGGTGTATGGTGGTATGTAGGGGGGGTGTATTGGTGGAGGGGGGGTGTATGGTGGATGTGTGTAGGGGGGGTGTATGGTGGATGTGTGTAGGGGGGGTGTATGGTGGATGTGTGTAGGGGGGGTGTATGGTGGATGTGTGTAGGGGGGGGGGTGTATGGTGGATGTGTGGTAGGGGGGGTGTATGGTGGATGTGTGTAGGGGGGTGTATGGTGAATGTGTGTAGGGGGGAGTGTATGGTGGATGTGTGTAGGGGGGGTGTATGGTGGATGTGTGTAGGGGGGGTGTATGGTGGATGTGTGTAGGGGGGGGTGTATGGTGGATGTGTGTAGGGGGGGTGTATGGTGGATGTTGTGTAGGGGGGGGTGTATTGTGGATGTGTGTTAGGGGTGTGTATAGTGGATGTGTGTAGGGGGGGTGTATGGTGGATGTGTGTAGGGGGGGGTGTATGGTGGATGTGTGTAGGGGGGGGTGTATGGTGGATGTGTGTAGGGGGGGGTGTATGTGTGTAAGGGGGGTGTATGGTGGAGTGTGTGGGGGGGTGTATGGGGGATGTGTGTAGGGGGGGTGTATGGTGGATGTGTGTAGGGGGGGTGTATGGTGGATGTGTGTGGGGGGGTGTATGGTGGATGTGTGTAGGGGGGTGTATGGTGGATGTGTGTAGGGGGGGGTGTATGGTGAATGTGTGTGGGGGGGGTGTATGGTGGATGTGTGTAGGGGGGAGTGTATGGTGGATGTGTGTAGAGGGGGTGTATGGTGGATGTGTGTAGGGGGTGTATGGTGGATGTGTGTGGGGGGGTGTATGGTGGATGTGTGTAGGGGGGGTGTATGGTGGATGTGTGTAGAGGGGGTGTATGGTGGATGTGTGTAGGGGGTGTATGGTGGATGTGTGTAGGGGGGGTGTATGGTGGATGTGTGTAGGGGGGGGTGTATGGTGGATGTGTGTAGGGGGGGTGTATGGTGGATGTGTGTAGGGGGGGGGTGTATGGTGGATGTGTGTAGGGGGGGGGGTGTATGGTGGATGTGTGTAGGGGGGGTGTATGGTGGATGTGTGTAGGGGGGTGTATGGTGGATGTGTGTAGGGGGGGTGTATGGTGAATGTGGTGTAGGGGGGAGGTGTATGGTGGATGTGTGTAGGGGGGGTGTATGGTGGATGTGTGTAGGGGGTGGGTGTATGGTGGATGTGTGTAGGGAGGGTGTATGGTGGATGTGTGTAGGGGGGGGTGTATTGTGGATGTGTGTAGGGGGGGTGTATGGTGGATGTGTGTAGGGGGGGTGTATGGTGGATGTGTGTTGGGGGGTGTATGGTGGATGTGTGTAGGGGGGGTGTATTGTGGATGTGTGTAGGGGGGGTGTATGGTGGATGTGTGTAGGGGGGTGTATGGTGGATGTGTGTAGGGGGGTGTATGGTGGATGTGTGTAGGGGGGGTGTATGGTGGATGTGTGTAGGGGGGGTGTATGGTGGATGTGTGTAGGGGGGGTGTATGGTGGATGTGTGTAGGGGGGGGTGTATGGTGGATGTGTGTAGGGGGGGGTGTATGGTGGATGTGTGTAGGGGGGGTGTATGGTGGGTGTGTGTAGGGGGGAGTGTATGGTGGATGTGTGTAGGGGGGGTGTATGGTGGATGTGTGTGGGGGGGTGTATGGTGGATGTGTGTAGGGGGGTGTATGGTGGATGTGTGTAGGGGGGGTGTATGGTGGATGTGTGTGGGGGGGGTGTATGGTGGATGTGTGTAGGGGGGGTGTATGGTGGATGTGTGTGGGGGGGGGGTGTATGGTGGATGTTTGTAGGGGGGGTGTATGGTGGATGTGTGTAGGGGGGGGGTGTGGTGGATGTGTGTGGGGGGAGTGTATGGTGGATGTGTGTAGGGGGGGGTGTATGGTGGATGTGTGTAGGGGGGGTGTACGGTGGATGTTTGTAGGGGGGTGTATGGTGGATGTGTGTAGGGGGGGTGTATGGTGGATGTGTGTGGGGGGGGCGGTGTATGGTGGATGTGGGGAGGGGGGGGGTATGGTGGATGTGTGTAGGGGGGTGTATGGTGGATGTGTGTAGCGGGGGTGTGGTGGATGTGTGTAGGGGGGGGTGTATGGTGGATGTGTGTAGGGGGGGGGTGTATGGTGGATGTTTGTAGGGGGGGGTGTATGGTGGATGTGTGTGTGAGGGGGGGGTGTATGGTGGATGTGTGTGGGGGGGGGTGTATGGTGGATGTTTGTAGGGGGGGGAGGGGTGGTGAGGATGCTGGAGGGTATAGGAGGGGCTGTAGTGGAAGAGGGAGACGAGGAAGGGAGGTACAGGGGGTTGAGTGAGTGGAGTGACACGGGGGGGGGGGGGGCAGTGTGCTGTGGTTGAGTGAGTGGAGTGACACGGGGGGGGGGCAGTGTGCTGTGGTTGAGTGAGTTGAGTGACACGGGGGGGGCAGTGAGCCGGTCTGTGCCATGGCGGCACAGGAGCTGCTGCTTCTGCTGCTGCTTCTGCTGCTTCTGCTGCTGCTTCTGCTGCTGCTGCTTCTGCTGCTGCTGCTTCTGCTGTTGCTGCTTCTGCTGCTGCTTCTGCTGCTGCTGCTTCTGCTGCTGCTGTTGCGGGGTCACGAGTCGGCACCTCCGCGCGCAGAAGAAGCCGCGTCGCGGATGGCGTGCGCAGTCGGTGTCGCGCCGCGTGTCTGCCGTGGCTTCTGCAGGCCAAGCAGTGGCTTGCGCGCTACGGTTTATCCAGGATATGTACTTGTACATGCGGGGGGGGGGGGGGTAATTTGATCATATCCCCCCACGACGGTGAGTGCGGGTGTGTGAAGGCGGGAAGCGCAGAGGTGGGAGCGTGGAGGCGGGACCAGGCGCGTCCTCAAGGTGCCTCGTTGTGGCTGTACGAGCCTCGGGGATGGACACTGAACCGTGCGATTGCGACAAGAGGCCTCTTGCGGTTCAATACTCGGTGCACGCGTCGACGACTTATTGCTAAATCAAACGTCAACACGAAAAAGGGAAACATCGGAATGAAACCGACGACAGTGATGGCTGCTGCGCTTTGTGACGTCACAACGCACCGCGTGCTGACAGGCCAATCCTGATTAATTCGCCTCAAATATCAACATCGAGTCGCTGTGGAGAATATTAATTACTCGAGAGATACGCGGACAACGCATCCTGTTGCCTGATGATCTGACTGGTTGTTTACATTCAGAAGGCACTCCTTGGTATTGGTTTGCAAAGCCAATAGGGCGATGGACTAAAAAGTGTTTGTGTTGACACGTGGAGATACTGGACGGAGTTCTGCTCACACAATTTGCAGGCGTGCAAATACAGATAGGGATTGACTCATCATCCCTCTGTGGTCGATACAATTTGTACCAAGTTGCAGGGGAAATCAACAGTCGCCCTCGTCAAACGAACGTGGAATGTTCACCACTGGCTGTGAACAGCAGAGAAGCAGCAATGCCTCAATGCTCATTTGAGCAGCAGGAATTCACTTTACATAAATTACAAAGATCCCCCCTATAGCCTCAACAGACTTTTGGGGCAAGTGCTGTTACCAAGCACCACACCCGGCCGCCTTTGTCTCCCTCGTGTTAAATACATACACGAGGTGTCGGGCACGGTGACCCTGCCCCTAGTCTGCGTAACCGCTAGAGCTCCACCTCCTCATCCCTCTCCTCCTCATCCCTCTCCTGATGATCCCCCTCCTCACCCCTCTCCTCCTTCATCTCCTCCTCATCCCTCTCCTCATCCCGCTCTTTCTCATTCCTCTCCTCCTCCTGCTCCTCCCCCTCATTCCTCTCCTCCTCACCCCTCTCCTCCTCCTCCTCATCTCTCTTGTCCGCTTGCTCTTCCTGCACCGCAGGCGGCGCTCGCCCCATACCGCCCCGCGGGAGGGGAGAGTGAACAGAGGGAGTGGAGAGGGAGGGAGAGGGAGGGAGGGAGAGGGAACAGAGTGAAGGGAGAGGGAGGGGAGAGTGAACAGAGGGAGGCTTGACTGTAAGCTCGGCTCTCATTGGCGAACCCTCACCGCTGCACTGGGCACTGCAAGGCGGAGTCGCATTGGCAGCGGGGAGAGCAGAGACAGCAGGGAGAGCGCGGAAAGATCAGGGAGAGCGGAGGGAGATCAAGGGAGGGAGCAGCGGGGAGCAGGGAAGGGCGCATCTCGATTTCCGATCTCAGGGCGATGATGACGGAGCGGTCTCTGCCGTGCCGTCTGCGGCTGCGCTCTGGATGCGGGGAGCCGTGAGAGGAGCCAGGGGCCGCCCTGCCGGTGAGGATGAGGAGGAGAGAGGATGAGGATGTGGGTGAGATGAGAGGAGGAGAGAGGATGAGAGGTGGATGTGGATGGGAGGTGGATGTGGATGGGAGGTGGATGTGGATGGGAATGGCGCTACTCGCTGTGCCGAGCCCGGATTGCGGAGCCGCGAGGCGGCGGCGGTGGGGGCGGCGATGGCAGCTGAGACCGCGACGCGGCGTGGTCGAGGCGTGAAGGCGGTGTGTGTGTGTGCTGTGTGTGTGTGCTGTGTCTGTGTGCGCGGTGTGTGTGCTGTGCGGTGTGTGTGCTGTGCGGTGTGTGTGCTGTGCGGTGTGTGTGTGCTGTGCGGTGTGTGTGTGCTGTGCGGTGTGTGTGCTGTGCGGTGTGTGTGTGCTGTGGTGTGTGCGGTGGTGTGTGCTGTGCGGTGTGTGTGCTGTGCGGTGTGTGTGTGCTGTGCGGTGTGTGTGTGCTGTGCGGTGTGTGTGTGCTGTGCGGTGTGTGTGTGCTGTGCGGTGTGTGTGTGCTGTGCGGTGTGTGTGTGCTGTGCGGTGTGTGTGTGCTGTGCGGTGTGTGTGTGCTGTGCGGTGTGTGTGTGCTGTGCGGTGTGTGTGTGCTGTGCGGTGTGTGTGTGCTGTGCGGTGTGTGTGTGCTGTGCGGTGTGTGTGTGCGGTGTGTGTGTGCGGTGTGTGTGTGCGGTGTGTGTGTGCTGTGTGTGTGTGCTGTGTGTGTGTGCTGTGTGTGTGTGCTGTGTGTGTGTGCTGTGTGTGTGTGCTGTGTGTCTGTGCTGTGTGTCTGTGCTGTGTGTCTGTGCTGTGTGTCTGTGCTGTGTGTCTGTGCTGTGTGTCTGTGCTGTGTGTCTGTGCTGTGTGTCTGTGCTGTGTGTCTGTGCTGTGTGTCTGTGCTGTGTGTGTGTGCTGTGTGTGTGTGCTGTGTCTGTGTGCGCTGTGTCTGTCTGTGCGCTGTGTCTGTCTGTGCGCTGTGTCTGTCTGTGCGCTGTGTCTGTCTGTGCGCTGTGTCTGTCTGTGCGCTGTGTCTGTCTGTGCGCTGTGTCTGTGCGCTGTGTCTGTGTGTGCGCTGTGTCTGTGTGTGCGCTGTGTCTGTGTGTGCGCTGTGTCTGTGTGTGCGCTGTGTCTGTGTGTGCTGTGCGGTGTGTGTGCTGTGCGGTGTGTGTGCTGTGCGGTGTGTGTGCTGTGCGGTGTGCTGCGCTGTGCGTGCTGTGTGTGCGTTCTGTGTGTGCGTTCTGTGTGTGCGTTCTGTGTGTGCGTTCTGTGTGTGCGTTCTGTGTGTGCGTGCTGTGTGTGCGTGCTGTGTGTGCGTGCTGTGTGTGTGTGTGTGCTGTGTCTGTGTGTGTGCTGTGTCTGTGTGTGTGCTGTGTCTGTGCTCTGCGTGTGTGTGTGCTCTGCGTGTGTGTGTGTGTGCTCTGCGTGTGTGTGTGTGTGCTCTGCGTGCTCTGTGCGCTGAGCGCTGTGTGTGTGTGTGCTGTGTGTGTGCTGTGTGTGTGCTCTGTGTGCTCTGTGTGTGTGTGTGCTCTGCGTGTGTGTGTGCTGCGTGTGTGTGCTCTGTGCGCTGAGCGCTGTGTGTGTGTGTGCTGTGTGTGTGCTGTGTGTGCGTGCTGTGTGTGTGCGTGCTGTGTGTGTGCTATGTGTGCTGTGCGCGCTGAGCGTTGTGTGTGTGTGCTGTGTGTGTGATGTGTGTGTGTGTGCTGTGTGTGTGATGTGTGTGTGTGTGCTGTGTGTGGTGTGTGTGCTCTGTGTGCTGTGTGTGTGCTGTGTGTGTGTGCGGTGTGTGCTGTATGTGTGAGTGCTGTGTGTGTGTGTGCTGTGTGTGCTGTGTGTGCTGTGCGTGTGTGTTCTGTGCGTGTACTGTGCGTGTGTATGTGGATTGAGCGGTAGTGTCGTGGTTAGCCCGCTGCTCAACGAACCCGGCGACCCGAGTTCGATTCCCGCACACGGCCACCAGCACGCGAATGACGATCATCTCCTTCGCTCCTGCGCCTCCCCTCGATAGACTCCATCTCAAATGGTCCGACATGTAAACATCGCCACTAGGGAGACAAAGACGGTCGGGCATCGTGCAGGCCACCCATCACCTTGTATGCTGAGCCGACCTTTATAGGTGCTCGCTGACAGCACTTTCCCCAAGTCTGTTAAGGCTATTCGGGGGATCTTTGTCTTTGTGTGTGTAGATGGTGTGTGTGTGTGCATGTGTTCTCTAGTTAAGTAGATACGTGCGAGTAGACTGTGTGTATGAGTATGCTGTGTGTATGAGTATGCTGTGTGTATGAGTAGACTGTGTGTATGAGTAGACTGTGTGTATGAGTGGGCTGTGTGTATGAGTATGTTGTGTGTATGAGTGAGCTGTGTATGAGTATGCTGTGTGTATGAGTAGACTGTGTATGGGTATGCTGTGTGTATGAGTAGACTGTGTATGGGTATGCTGTGTGTATGAGTGGGCTGTGTGTATGAGTATGCTGTGTGTATGAGTATGATGTGTATGGGTATGCTGTGTGTATGAGTATGATGTGTATGAGTATGCTGTGTGTATGAGTAAGCTGTGTGTATGAGTAGACTGTGTGTATGAGTAGACTGTGTGTATGAGTGGGCTGTGTATGGGTATGCTGTGTGTATGAGTATGATGTGTATGAGTATGCTGTGTGTATGAGTATGATGTGTATGAGTATGCTGTGTGTATGAGTATGATGTGTATGAGTATGCTGTGTGTATGAGTATGATGTGTATGAGTATGCTGTGTGTATGAGTATGATGTGTATGGGTATGCTGTGTGTATGAGTATGATGTGTATGAGTATGCTGTGTGTATGATTATGATGTGTATGAGTATGCTGTGTGTATGAGTATGATGTGTATGAGTATGCTGTGTGTATGAGTAGACTGTGTGTATGAGTAGACTGTGTGTATGAGTGGGCTGTGTATGGGTATGCTGTGTGTATGAGTAGACTGTGTATGGGTATGTTGTGTGTATGATTATGATGTGTATGGGTATGCTGTGTGTATGAGTATGATGTGTATGAGTATGCTGTGTGTATGAGTATGATGTGTATGAGTATGCTGTGTGTATGAGTATGATGTGTATGAGTATGCTGTGTGTATGAGTGGGCTGTGTGTATGAGTATGATGTGTATGAGTATGCTGTGTGTATGAGTATGCTGTGTGTATGAGTATGCTGTGTGTATGAGTATGATGTGTATGAGTATGCTGTGTGTATGAGTAGACTGTGTATGGGTATGCTGTGTGTATGAGTATGATGTGTATGAGTATGCTGTGTGTATGAGTATGATGTGTATGAGTATGATGTGTATGAGTATGATGTGTATGAGTATGATGTGTATGAGTATGATGTGTATGAGTATGATGTGTATGAGTATGATGTGTATGAGTATGCTGTGTGTATGAGTATGATGTGTATGAGTATGATGTGTATGAGTATGATGTGTATGAGTATGCTGTGTGTATGAGTATGATGTGTATGAGTATGCTGTGTGTATGAGTATGATGTGTATGAGTATGCTGTGTGTATGAGTGGGCTGTGTGTACAGAGAGCCCGGGCCCACGATGGAGCAGTGGCCCGCGGGAACTTCGCGTGTGCAGCGCTGCACTTCACCGCTGCACATTGACCCTGAGCCTTAGCTGCCGCGTACTTCACTGCTGCACTTGACGCATGACTGGCGCGTTATCTTTACACGCTAGTGCTGCTGCACATTACTGCTGCACATCGCCGCTGCACATCGCCGCTGCACATTGCCGCTGCACATCGCCCCTCGTTACCGCTGCACTTTTGCGCTTGTGCGCCCCCCCCCCCCCCCGCGGAGTGCGTCTCAGTCAGCGCCGCCCGCTTCATTGTTCATTCTCCGCGTGCAGGAGCGAGGAGCGCGACATTTCTATTCCACGTCTCTCTGCTTGTTCCCCCCCCCCCCTCTCTCCTCTCCCTCTCCCGCACTCCTTCATCTCCTCTCGTCTTGCTCTCCCTTACCCCCTCCCCCCCCCCCGTGTATCTCTCTCCCCGTCTCCTTGCTCTCTCTCTCACTATCTCATCTCTACCCCCCCCTCCTCTCCCAGCTCTACCCTTGCTCCCTCTCCTTTGTCTCCCTATTTGCTCGTTCTCCCTCTCTTACATCTCCACACTCTATCTCCTCTCTCATATCTCACTCTCCCCACTCTCCCATTGCTGTGCCCCATCTCCTATCTCTCTATCCCCTTCCTATCCTGTCTCTGAACCCGCCCCCCCCTCTCTCTCTGATGCTGTCACGCGTGGTCATAAATAGACTTTAGCACCAGAATCTATTTCTGGTTACCGGCACCATCCACCCTCTCCCCGCCCCCCCTATCCAACCTCGTATGCGTGATGGGTCTCCTCCAGAGTTCTCCAGTTTCCTCACAAATATACAGTACTGTATATAGATTTGCTAAAGATCCCGGTGTAGCAAGACCCTCTTGCAAAACGAGTCCTGAGACTCAGCGAGGCTTTCCTGCACGTGTTCCGTTTGTGACGTCATCGTCGTCATCGTCATCAATCGACGTGCTGGCGTGAGGCACCAGATGTAAAAGACGATGATGGCGTGGAGTGGTCGTGGGTTAGGAGGTTGGAGGGGTTGGGGAGAGCAATGCCGAACGGATCCACCTGGAGTCTCGCGTTGTGCCGTGCAAGGACACAAGAGGGAGAGGGGGGTCTACACGAGGGATTGTCCGCGACTGCCGGGTTGAGTCTCCCTCACTCACCGCGGGGCGCGAGTTGCCTGCGGCCAACCGCGATGCCGCGGGTCGTGCCGCAGCCAATCGCCGCTAGCCCCGACCCTACGCTGACCCCAGCGCTGACCCCAGCGCTGACCCCAGCGCTGACCCCAGCGCTGACCCCAGCGCTGACCCGAGCGCTGACCCCAGCGCTGACCCCAGTACTTGCCGACCGCTCGCCCAACCCTACCCCGAGCAGCCACGCGCGTTGTGCCCTCTAAACCTCGACAGAGCCACAAGCAACACTATCTATCTATCACCTTCACAC